AAATAATTATAATTTTTAACCCACACAGATGTATAAACCAAAAAAATCCCTACGTGAGAGAGTACTGAGGCCCCATATAGATTGAGGAAGGTCATTTAGCCTCATGGTTCTGCTTGACTATTTTTTAATACATCTTACATACTTCACGAGGAGGTATGGTACTAAATTATGTATAAAGATTTGAAACCATTTGCTAAAACATGCTACAAGTGTACAGCAGTAATAAAATTTATAAAAGCTCTATCACTTCTATCAGTTATTTCATTCAAAATCATAAAGTCCTGGCTGAACTTTGAAGGGCCAAATTGTTCAGAGGATAAAACGATATCCTTATTTAAAAGTTGTCCCCTTTGAAAAATTTCCCCAAACATTCAGCCAAAGCAGAAGGATTTCCTTTAGGAAGCCGGATGCACCTTTTTCTGTGACTGTAACTGAGCTTTGGATTATATATCTTTGGGAATTCCAAACTGTTAAGAAAAACAATAGCAGCATACTCAGTAGTATTACATACCTGCAGATAGAACTACATACTTGTTATGTGTCTTACCTTGAGACTAATGGATTCACCTGACTTTTGTAATAACAAAAATGATGTCGGAAAATTATGCTGTGAACATGAGTCAGAGCTAAACTCATCATCCTCTGGCAGATTGAACATACTTTATTACACCAAACTGACACATGATGTGCTTCTTACTTGTATTATAAAAGTTTAAACCTGGCTTACCTGGGTTTATTAAATAAGTCATAAAAAACGTTTCAGGTACCTTCAGTATTTTAGTATCATTTGTTGCTTTTTCAAGAGTTCTCTGGGAAAACTTTCTGCTCGACCTGAAAACAGTGCACACAAAATCATGTGACTGTATTGGCACATTCAATCTCATTCAGAAGTTGGCCCATCTCACGTAAGCTATAGACACAGCTGTTACGCCAGTGGGATGAAGCAGGGAAACAGCTCAGAACAGACCTCTGCAGTCTCTGCACCCCTGACATTTCCTGTTTGACCCTGGACACATGCAACAGCTTCCTTGTCAAAGATCAGAGACCAGAAGGAGCAAACAAATCTCTTGGCTTCACTTTTGAGGCAGGTGTCCCCTCTCTTGAAATTTCCTGTGGTCTGGGAGACACTGCCAGCTGTCCGTTCAGTTCATGTGAGCAGTTTGTCTTAGGGCTGGGGGTACAGAAGGGGAGCAGCCTTCACAGGACTAGTTCTGATATCAGATGAAATGAAGGAAAGGAAATTGATGCTAGTGTGTTGTGCTAAGAATGGTTATTCCTTTTAAATCTTGAGAACAAAATATTATCTTAATATCTCCTTAATATTACAACTAACAGATATCTTTTATGAAGTGACTTGGATTTCAGGTGTGTTTGTTCTTGTTATATGAAAAAATATTACATTTTTGTATGGGATGAGGGGATTATGCTGAATGCATACACACTGTCTTACTTTGAGGTACAGATCATTAATCTAACTCATAATTTCTGCTTGACACTCAGAATCATGCTTTATATCCAGATTGTAATCTTTTAAAATTGTTAATAGCTAAAGAAATGGTCCTGCCTTCAACATTTTGCTGGAACTGCCACTACTGTTGACAAGACTACTAAGAGTTGTATTTAGACATTTGTGTTGGTTTTCCATTTTTTGGTCTCTCTTTCCACTTTTACCTCCTTATCTAACATCCTACTTGAAATGTTGTCCTCTGTTTTTTATCACAGCTCAGTTGTCTTCTAACTTCCTCATGACTCTAATCCTTTCTGCACAACTTCATTTCCCTTGTGTCAAGGCTTCAGTCATGATCTGTGTTCATCCTCCTGCATCCAGATGATGTCCCCTACCTACCTCCCTGACTTGAGGATGTCTAAGCTGATTGATAAATGTCTAAGCAGGTAAATTAGAAATGTACGGGTCCTCTCTCTGTACAGTGTGTAGCCTAACCTGTTTCTTTGCAATCCCTTTCTAGGTATGTCTCTATCAGCTTCACTGAACTGAGTGAAGATATGTGTCCCTTGTTTCTGTCAGCCATATCTTTTTTACTCACTTTCTCTTGTCCTTCGTGTCAGGCAGTTTGGTGTTATCTCTGATTTCATGTAGCCCCGGGTTATACCCACTGCTTGCTACTTCAGCCCTGGTTTCTCAGAGATACGCCTTCTTTCTGTTTGGACACTATTCACACATATCTAAATCATCCTCATTCATTCTTTGGATTCTCCCTAGCAGCCCTGCTTGATGGTCACCTAGGTCCCCACGCCTGAGCTGCTGAGGACAATCCCACCAAACTCACATTGCAAGTGAGATGCCTAACAATGCACTCTTCTTTGCAGCTTCCAGCTTTGCCTTTTCCCCACAGTTATACCCTATTCTTCCCCATACAGAACCCTTGTGGGCCCAGACACCTTCTGCCTGTAGTGCCATCCCCCTTTTGTCCAGCTCCACCACCAGCACCTGCATCTGGTGCCAGTTCATGCATGTTGTTCACAGATGCTTTATCCTCTGCTTTGCTGTTTGCATGGAAAACAGTACTGAAGCTTAGCTGTTAAATATTTTTTTCCCCTGATATCCTTCATAAAACCCACATTCATCATGAGGTACACAAAAGCTTTTCAGACAAAAAAAAATGTAGCCAAGTGATTTCTAAGGATAACAGATGTTTGTTTATTTATCTTTCGCTTAGAATTAGAATGAGAGAAAACAAAAACCAGGAAGACCAGACTTGCAATCAGGCTTGTAACCACATTCTTACATGTGGAGTATTATTATTGTTTTCCTCTATTACCTTTCCTGATTCCTGCAAATAATCTTGTAGATTCTTCTTGGTATCTTCAGTAGACTGAAAGCACTTATGGGTTTTATCATTGTAAAAATTCTAGCCTAAATGGAGTTCTGAAGTTGATGGCCCTGCCCTGGTACTAGCTTAAAAGTCATAATATAATCAAGAATAATTTTGGAAGAGTAATAATTATTTTTAAAAAGTAACGCCCACTTCACATCATTGTTTCCTAAACCCTGTTGGTTATGTATTACAGATGACTCTCTCCTAGTAAGATTGCTTACTTGTTACTTTCAGGGTTTCTGTGCTGGGAAAATAGGTTGCAAAAGAGACTGTGGGTATCATGACCTCATCATTCGTATTCAAAAGAAGAACAGCAAGATCACCATAATGCATTACTTTGTAAAATTATAACCCTGAGAAGTAATAAGATTCGATTACATTTTTTGGCAAAGTTCTTTCTAAGAAAGTATCTGTCTCATGACTCTAGTTTATTCTTTGTCCTGATCATTGGTTAACAGTCCTCATGAGGATTTTCCATCTCCTCAAACCTTGCAAGAGATAAATCCCTCTTTTCCTGTGGTCCGCTTCAGCCTTTGCATATGTGCACTTTCTGAAGCATTAACTGTTAACAGTTGTGCCTAAGAAACCTAAATTCCTTATACAGCCACAGTGCTTTATGATGCTGGAGAACAAATGCAGACCGCACAAGGAGCTTTCTTCCCCTTTGCTCTGCACAAGACCTGAAATGTCATGCTGAGCAAGAATATTCCAGTCATTGGAGCAGACTGGTGGATCCTGTGGGCTGAACTCGTCTAAAATGCAGAATAGTTATCTCTGTGCAGTCTTGCAGAAAGCCCATCGCAGCTACTGTTAATGGTGGCAAAACCACAGAGAAGATAATCAGAGAATGCTGAAATGGGTTTGCTGATCCTCTATACACACACTTGAAAACTCATGAGATTCCTAAACCAGGTCAGATTCACTCCTGCAAACTACAAACAAGAATGGTGGGATAGTTTATAAGTCAATATAGAGAGTTGAATTTTTAACTACTGTATCAGTGTGATCTTTGTAATGGAAGATAGAGGATAATACTGTGTGTTACACATTTCAATGGGTGATTTAAGAGGATCCTTTTAGTCTTCTTCTCATTTACTCTGTTTTCTTTTCAACACTTTTTCTAACTCTTGCCATCCTTAATTGGAGAATTTAAAAAGTCCATAAGGCTCTTATTTTCTCTTGGGCTTACAACTGTAGTGTTAATGGTACATACTGTTAAGGGAAGCCATAGTTAATACCATGTAGAACATCCTCTCTCTTCATTATCAGGTCATCCTCTCTCTCTGTGTTTTGTTTTGGAAGAAATAACAGGAAAAACATATGGAGCATTTTTGTACATAATGCTGGGTGATAAAATCCCATAGGATTTTAATGGTGTGACATTTCTACACATTTTTTTTTCCCTTATATTACAGTTTAAGATGGGTTCCCCTACTATAGGCTCTCAAAGGAATTTTCAGTTGAGCTTTTAAGTAAGCGTTTATGCTGCTTAGCAATTTGGACTGTTCATTGTGACTCATTTTATAGCCTGATCTGCTTGCCTATCTGTCTTGTATTTCCAGCAAGAATATTTCTATGAGCAACAAGCAGAAATGATGCATTGGACATGGACTTCATGGAGCTTTAAATGTTTTTAGAAAGGGAAGTGTTAACATTGAGTAGATGACGTTAGCACCACCACCAAGAAAGAAAGAAGAAAAACGAACTCTGAAAAGCTGTATTGACTAAATCTTCTAACAATGCTTGTGATTTTCCTATATCCTGCTCTGTGTTTTTGTATGGATTTTTCATAGCACAGACAGATGTTACCCACACTGTGATTCAACGTCTGTTCCTAGCCATGCTCTTGCACAATTTTAACCTGATTTCATGGGAGGAACAGAGAATGAAACACCGTAGCTCGTGGTTGTCAGCGGTGAAAAATAGCCAGGAATCAGACAAACAGCTTCATTGCTGAGATTATTTCCGGGATAAAAGCTCTTCCAACAGCTGTTTGCTTTGGCCACTACTCAGGTCCTTTTTTTTTTTTTTTTAAATCAGAAAAAAAAAAGGCGGTTTGTTTTTTTTTAAGATGTGGGCTGGTTATTTATGTAGTCAGGAAGAGGTCTCTGCTTCCAGCGTTGTAGTCTCAGAGCTGTTTTGACAGTTGGAGTACAGGGAGGTTTCATCTATTCTCTCCCCCCTTTTCTTCTATCCTTCATTCACTTAATGCACAGACCTGGAATGCTGTAGAAAGAAGAGAACGCGAATTTATGAGTTCTTTAATCCCAGACAGGCAGCTCTGTGGCAGTTACCTTCAAGAAAAGTTCACGCCCCAAAGGAGTGTTTAGTTTTACAGAGCCACTGACTCACTGAGCAGCGCATGTGAGTGGCTGAGAGGGAGAAGGGGAGAGATGAAGGAAAAGTTTTCCTTTCTCGTGCAACTCGTAATATTATTGTTTTAAGACGTTTTTGAAAAGATGACTGCTACTTTTGTTTAAAGTATTTGTTCTGGAATTGCTGAAGCTGGAGTCTACCAGACTGAGGTCAGGAGCATTTTCTTTGGCAGAAAGAAGATACTTTTATAGAAGCCATGCCTGTACTTGGGGTTGCCTCCAAGTTAAGACAGCCAGCCGTAGGGTCAAAGCCTGTTCACACTGCCCTCCCAATACCCAACCTTGGCCCTGCTGGCTCACAGCAGTATTCGTCAAAGTCTTTGGAGCTTACTGGGGCGGAGAGCTCGATGCTTTCTTGTCAGCTTACATTAAAGTCGACCTGCGATTTTGGAGAGAGGAGAGCACTTCAAGGAAAAACCCAGGAGATTGAAGATAGCAAGGTTAGTTGTAAACTTTACCTGTGGATTTCAATTCTCAGAAAATGTTGATTTGCTCAGAAAAAAGCTGATCAAAGCCTACTGCACACAGAACTCAAGGGTAATTGGATAAATAGACATTTGCTGTCATCAGTAAACTCGCATAACAGCCTTGGAAATCTGTTTTGCTGTATGAATAAATATTCTGGTTTTAAATGTTAGTGTTAAAAGCTTCACAGATTCATTTTGATAAGGATCAATAGAATCATAACTAGAGAAAAATCATTCCAGCACCCAGTAAGCAGAGCAATGACATGACAGTACTTTAAAAAAAAAAAAAACAAAACATCACATTAGCTGCTTCATGTTATATTATGAAGTTTAAAAAGAGCTCTCACGCCCACACCTATTCCCACAGGGAGACTCTTTTAAAATAAAAACAAGTAATTGATTTTCTTTTCACTTTTGAAATGATCTGGCCACTCTTGCTGCAGAACTGCTGAACCAGAAAAACAGCTTCTCAGTGAAAAGTACCTGTGTTTTTCTCTTCTGCAAAATAACTTCTTCCTAGTCCTTATCTAGCTCTGATTCATTGTGATTTTAAAAAGGTTTGTTTGAAGTAGGATACCATGACGTTTTTTAGACTCCTTAGGGTTACTTCTTTTGTAAGGGGGTTCTTTTTTTGAGTCTTAATTAACAGTTTTAAGGCTTCTGTTTGATTTTCAGCTAGTCTTTCTACTGTAATTGAAAATATTTTTCATGCTTTGAACATTAGCGTTGATTCTCTTTTGTTAGTTGTATATATACCTGTAGATCTTTCAGTCAGTACATTTATGGCTGCGTGTGTGCAACATATATTTGTAGTTGCTTCTTATTTAGTTTGAGGACACGAGTTTTATCAGAGTTGTTAAAGTGGCAAGATACAAATAATGGATGTACTTTGCTTTCCTTTGTTTTTAGTTACTGGGTTAATTCAGTATTAGTGAAGAAATTTGATTTTGTGGTTAAAGCATAGGGTTATGATTCTGAACGTTTGGTTTCCTTTTTAATCCCTGCCACATATTTCACCATGACATTTTGGTCATGTCACTTAATTTTTCCTTTGGAGTATTCTGTATCAACCCTCCATGTCTTCCAAAGATGATGCATTGGTGCTCTCAGACATGCTATATAGAAATATAAAGAAGGACCAGACTGTCCAGCTCCTGATTACCAGAAGTGATGAACCCTTTTGTTTAACATGAGTGTGACATGAAGACAATGATAACTTTTGGTAATGATAATGATAAAAGATAACTTTTCAACACAATGTGTTTCCTGACTGCTTAATTATTTTTAATAGAAAATATTATTTATATTTCCTCTTTAATGTTCTTTAATTATTATCGCATGAAAAGTAAATTAGATTTGCAATTACTATTTTTGGAAAAAACCAATACAGTTACATTGCCTACTGAGAGATGTTTCTTGATTCTTTCAAAAAGAGATAAAGCATCTTGCCTTCAGTATTTAAACTACTTGGGAACTATTAGTGATCAGCATGAGACCTAATGGGGGTCATATCCTTTCAAGACATCTGGTCCTGAGTCCTGCTGAAGTGTTAGTGAGTAAAGTAACAGGTTAGATGGACCCAAACTGTGATCTCAGTTTGCCATTTTGTGTTTCATGAGTTTGACAATACTTGTAATCTTAGAGACTGTTTTCTAAAGAAAAAAAAAGCCACAAAACCCACCAACCTCCAAAACCCAGCCTATGAGCCATTAGATCTTTCTTTCTTTCTGTTCTCAGTGGAAGCAGCTGAGGACTTTTAAAAGATGATCCTTAAAGAATAAGTCCAGTTTGTGCTCATGATGGTCTGAAAACTTCCCCTGGCCACCTGAATTTAAAGAAGCTCTGAGCATTCAAGGAGTTACTAATTTCTTCAGCCTTTCTATATTCCCTCCGTACAAGTCCAATATTCCCAGTAAAGCTTAGTGGCAGCCCTTTGCCCAACTTTCTTCCAGACACATTTTTTTTGAAGGATGTTCTTTTATGCACCTTTTAAGAAGGTTTCTTGAAATCTTTTTGCCAAAGTAGTTTGGACTGTAAAGTGGGTGGTTATGATGAAGAAATTATTTTTAGGCTTTTCTTACTAGTAAACTTCAAAGTATCATCCTAAAAGTATTGAATGCTATTTTTCTTTATCACCTGGGAGCCTCAGCAGTATGTCCAGGTTGTCTAAGCAGTAGTTCTAAGCACAAATTTGAGGGAATTGTTAGAGTTAACGACGCTTCAGGTTTCCTGAGCAGATGCAAGTTTTGCATAACAGATTATGTTGTCCCAAAGCTTGACCATTTGTGAGTGCTGTTTCCAACAGACCTTTGGTTGATTTCTCTGGTTAGCAAACATGTTAATCAAACATGTGATATTCCTATGTGACTGGTATGCAGTGCTGTACATTGGGAATGTTTCATTATAACAGTGATCAGATGTGAGGTCTTTCAATCAAAATGTGATGAATGCCTAGTCTGAGTTTCCAACTGAGCGTAAAATTTATCTATATATCATACTGCTTGTATGCTTATAGCATATCATTGGATATAATGCAGCACTGACTTTTGAAGGAAAAATGATGGATATCTGTCTGCGAAAGACAATGGAACATATGAGTTAATCATCTGGTTAACTTTTGCCCTTGGCTGCTGGATTGCAGCCTTTAGCATTGCTTTCTTTGGTATTTTACATACGCTGCACTGTGGGTCACCAGCTTTCTCATCCTGTCTGGAAGGCACTTAGATTGACACATGTAGTCATTGTGACATATCCTGTTGCTATCTATAAGTAGTAAGGATTCCAAGATAAATTTGGGTTATACATGTCAATACAGTAGGTCATTGCCATCCAGCTGTTTCCTCTATGGCCTTCAGTCTCACCACACCTGATTGCTCGAGACTTTTGACACTTGTGTTGGCTTTCTCACACAACTGCCTTGCCAAGACCGCTTAGCAATCCAGCTGCAAACATCAGTTCTCTTTTCCCTAGGCGTCTCTCCCGTCTCACATGATTTTGTTGCACTTGCACATGTAGTCTTGTTTGCTTTCTTTTTTGTGGACATGATGCAGTTTGAAGTTTAATAAAAGTGACATTATTGTTTTACTAAAAACTGGGGTAGGAAAAGTTTGGTTACATTCAACATTTTTCTTAATTGAATAGAACACAGTTAAACCTAGGAAAGCAAGTAATAAGTTGCTAATGTTTTAAATTATTCTGTGTGTAGTTTATTCAACTACCCTTTTGTTCAAAATTTTTATAATCTGTGCTTTGGTACCTAAGTCACATACATCTGCTTTCTTGCTAAACTCACTAATGTTTAAACTAACTGCATGAACACTTATGATGTGAATAGTCATGCAAAATATTTGAACGCAAGCATTCAGAGCACATTCTTTTTCCCTGAGTATCATATAGACAAAAGTTTATTCCTATATATGTACAGAGGAAAGGAATCCAGCTGCTGGATTCATGAGGTGAAATGCTGGCTCTCTTTGAAGCAGATGGAGTTTTGCTGTTCAGTTGGACCATAGAGTGCTTTTATGCAAACCCATATCTGAAAACATCAATACCTTTTGCGACATTTTTCTCTCATCTGTGGGCACAGTATTATTTATATTTCTGTGCCACCACTTTTGTACTGCTTTGAAATTAATGAGACCAAAATTATTGGATCATGCTAGGCTGCCTTGTGATACTGTTCTCATTGTAGAATGGGCTATTAAACAGCAATAAAATGAAAAAATATTGAGCAATATTGTAAAAAGGTAAATGAAGCAATGGCTTAAAACTAAAGGAAAAAGAGTTTCTATGCAAAACCAACTTATTTTGGTCACTAAATGATAATGCTGCACTGTATTGACCTGCAGCAAAATGCCAGTGCCAATAGTATTTTACTCCAGGTCACCATGATTGACTTCAGCTGCCCTCACACATTTGATGGTGCAGTCACAAGGGCACTGCCACAAATCTTCTCTGGCACAAATCTGGGCAGGTGCCGGGAGTCAGCATCCCTGCTAGACATGCTGGTCTTCTGGCCTGGCTTCCTGGGACCGCTCCTTGCATTGGTCTGCATTATGCTCCCAAGGTTTTCCTTCCGTCATCAAATTTTCTTCTTTCAAGAGCATTGCACCATCATTTATTCTTGAAAACTGAATTTTCTCTGAGCTGGATCTGGTATATTAATTGTAGCATTTTGGTTATATGACTTGGATGATAAGATTTCGGCCTTCTTTCCTGAGTTAATTCATTCCTTTACTGTCATATTATCTTTTTTTTTTTTTTCTTCTTTTTTTTTTTTTCAGTTTCTCTTTGTCCATGCTATCTGCCTGCTGCTGTCTGCTTTATCTGCTTCTTTCTTCCTGTTGGCAGATGTATTTACAGGCTTCTGCATATGACTTGTTTTTCTCTGTATCCACTCATCAAGTCTTCCTGTCACGACTGCAACATTCTTCATATCAGTGTTCATTACTGGAAAGTGCTAGTCAGGCTCCACAAATGATCCAGCACACATATGTAAACGTAAAACTTTTCTAGATACTTCAGTTTTGGGGGTTGAATGGGTGGTAATTTGTGATCTTCCTTAGGGAGGTCCAGCCCCACCAAGTTCATCATTAAACAACCTAACTTTGTACAGGAAGATCTCAGGGGGACTTGGGAAAGAGATCTGCTGCAAGGCCTTCTGGAAGAAATGGCAAAGAACATGATGTGTTCACCTGAGGACTGACACACAACTGACTTCTGTAGAACACAGAAATCTGGTCAGTTGGACTGTGGAAGCCATGTGTAAATCAGCAGAACAGAAAAGAATAGATAACCCTGGGGAACACAGCCAGCAAAGAATGGGGTCTGAAACAATAGTACCAAGTGAACATCATTAAAGTAATATAAAATGAATGTCAGTGTCACAAAACAAAGCTAAATATTTTTATGTGATTAGGCAAAAACACATATTGGTCTGAGGTCTTGGTCTGGTCTGAAGGCTTCCAGTGTCA